TTATTCCTTCCATTTTTCTCTATCCTGCCATCCAAGCTTACCAAATGCTTAAGGAAAACAAGTCAAGCACCATAAAAAACCCAAAAGGCATTTGAAAATCACAGAGATGATCCATCCTGCATCTATTCTAGTACACTCATACTATTAGGGTCTTTCCTCCCCCAAGCATATGTTCCGAACACCCCATAGAGGAATATTTTCTCCAAGTATGGGCTAGCGACCAACTACATCAGAATCACTTGACATTCTAGCTTAACAAGCTTGTTCCTGGGCCCTACCCCAGATCTACTGAGTCAGATCCACTGGAAATAGGCCAGTAATTTTAAAAAGCACCTTAAGTTATTCTCACATCCACTAAAATCTGGCAATTATAATGGTAGCAACATCCTTTCTAACTCAGCCCTGTCTCAGCATTTTTACAAACTTATTCCACAAGTTTACCATTCTCCATCCCTTGCCCCTTCCAACCACCCAAAGTTATATGATATAGGAGAGGAAGTTCTTGACCACCACTAAAGCAACATAAAGCCTGAAAGCATTGTTAGGAGGAGGGCCATGTTTTCAATAATGACAAAAACAGGCTATTGCAATTAAGAATAGCACCAAATTGTCCAAAGATTAAGCCAAAGCTCAATTCATTAGCTTTAAGTCCCTCCTGGTGCTAGGGTCAGAGTAGGCTAGGCCAAGTAGAGACCAAAAAGAGCAGGTAGCCATAGGCAAGGTAGGTAGGTCAGAGAGAAGTGTAGCTAAGAACCTAGAAAGACTGGTGGAACTGGGAGTATTTAATACTAGAGGGTAGCTGGGTAGATATTTATAGCAAGGTGTAGTGCTAGAAGAGCTAAAACAGGGGGGATTAGGAGATTCTGAGGACAGTTAGGGCTGAAAGAGAGTGTTGACGACACCCAGCAGAAGAATTCAAGGAACAAGCTAATAAAGGCCTTGTTCAGACACACCAAGACAATGTACCAAGACAATGTACAAAGACAGGTGCAAAGATAAATTCATAACTCAAGGTTTATAAGACACATTAGATTTGTACCTGTGGTTGGAGTGGGGGTGGAACTGGAGAAAAAATTGGAGATAAAAATAAAACAAGGGCCTTATATGAACAAATGATTATAATACTGAGGAATACAATCAACTTTCTGAGCCTGCGATATAAATAAAAGTTCCCCCCAAAAAAGGAGGGAAAGAGGAAAGAATTCTCCACACAACTGGTCAGCTTTCTAGTGAATTAAGACTATCATCTCTGCTTAAATTCAGGCCCTGGCTGGGTAGCTCAGATGGTTAGAACGTCGTCCTGACACGCCAAAGGTACCAGTTCCATCTCTAGTCCGGACACATACAAGAATCAACCAAAGAATGCATAAATAAGTGGAACAACAAACTGACGTTTCTTTCTCTCTCTTAAAAAATTAATTTTTTAAAAGTTCACTGTTCCTCAATTTGCTACCTTAAAGCTAAATGCAAATATAAATGAGATGGTAAAATGAGTAGGTTTTATTGTCTAAGAGAGTCAAGTGCCTCATTACAATTCCATTCTGGCTGTCTCTTAAGAAAAGCTATTAATTATATATCAGCAAATCATGGACAAAGATTATTTAACTTTCTTAGACCGATTAGAAATAGCATTCTATTAGTCTAATTAAAACTACTTGAGAACAACTCCCAACTTTTAATCGAATGATATATATTCACTGCCAGACATCAATAATAAGAGAACCTCTGCTGATGACTGTAGAAGTGCCACATAATTATCTCTTCCACTGTCAAAGTAAACCCTAACTTGTGCTGCATTCATTTTTTTGTGATATATAAAATTCAAATGGGTGCCATTGAATTTTCACAGATAATCTAATAAAATCATTAACTGGAAAGTATTCATTTGCATAAAGATCAAATCTTAATAAGAACATAAAAATTAAATTAGCATCTGAAATCTCCAGACTTTTATGGTTCTCTGGAATTAAACTTGAAGGCATTACAAAGCCAAATTGTAATTTGAATGTCCCGAGTTCTCTACCAATAAGCATAGGGCCTTTTGGGAAATAAATTTAACAATCAATTAAAAAGGTTTTAATTAACAAGCTATTATGCAGCTCAAGATTTTCTTATTTAGGTCTGTAAAGTCACTGCTATTTTGTTTAAATGACTATTCTTTAAGTCTGGCAGTGACCAGTAAGTTTGTTATAATCAATGGTAATATATCTGCCCAATCGCTTCCAGATTCAAGATATCTTTACCCATAAATAAAGAGATTACATTTATATGCTTGTCCTTTGTCTAGGAGTGTGCACAAAGAGATGAATGAAATGAAGTCTTATTTCACTTACAATGTTTATTTAGTTTGCTTGACTTTTAGTGGTTTCAATTTCCATTGTTTCCTAAATAGACACATAAAACCGTATCATAAACTTTAAAGTGAGAAAAGGGGATTAACGAGACTGATCACTGGTTTTGTATTCCGCCTATGGCTTTTAACAGTAATCACCTTTTGCTCCAAATACCATCTGGAATGTTAACAACATATTTCCTTTAAAATTACTCAGGACAAAGGCTTTAGTTTGGCAAGTCACCAGTGGCTATTAGTCTACAGCTATGCAGGAACTCTTGACTCAATTTGTTGGCTGGCCAAATCCTTGAGCTTAACCAAGAAATACATTCTTAAAGTTACCTGTTTATATAATATAAAGAAAACTGTGTGTTAGCTCTCTCCCAGTCTTGTACTGGTTGGGAAAGTCACAGCAGGTTTATAATACTATACTATGATAATCACTATACTTTTACCCAAAAGAGCTGCATCCCCCCAAAAAGAGAAGCTTGATGCAGATATTTCATCTGATTTCTGATCCAACTTCTTAATCTAAAAGATTACATCTCTAAACTATTATCTAGTCTTTATACACTAAGATAAAAATTTGTCCAGACAGGTTATCTTGTCCAACTAGACTTTCAGGAAAGATAATATTAAAAAGTACAAATATGAATCAGATTTCTTTGGTATTTGTTTTAAATCCATAAACAAAACACAAGCATTTTAATTAATTTTAATTAGTCAATAATAAGAAAACAAAGTTCTGTGAAATAAAAAATGTAGAGGAAAAATTTACCTTTTTCTATATGTTTATTTATGTTTACAGCAGGCAATATTAAGTCAGTATCCTTATTCAATAAGGCATGACAACTATGTTGAATTATTGTTAGTTGTTAGATTAATGGAAATATTTTTAAAATCTGCGCTCCTATAGTTTTCTTGAGAAAACAGTTTAAAACTAGTCTGTTGAATGAGGTGGCCATCTGGTGACGGAAACGAGCACTACAGACACTGTTTTTGAATAAACGTCATATTCTACACAAACCAACTGAAACACAAAAAAACATAGTAGGGCTGTCCAACGGAAGCATAATGTAAGTCACACAGGTAATTTAAAATTTTCTAATCACCTATTTTTAAAAGTAAAGGGAAACAGGAATTTTAATAATACATTTTTATTTAACCCAATATATCAAAATCATCATTTCAACATGTAATCAATACAAAAAATTGTCTATTTTTTCATATTAACTCTTCAAAATACGATGTGTATTTCACAGCGCATCTCAACTCGGACTAGCACATTCCAGGCCTTGAAGAGCCACACGTGGCTGTGGCTGTGGCTGTGGCCGTGGCTGCGACGACGCTGGACGGCGCATGTCCGGAGAACGAAACGGGAGCTGCCCTTTGATTTGCCTTTTACGAAGTTCATTCATTTCTCAGCCCTGCTGCCCGCGCTTTTCATAGTCCCTCCCTCTCCCTCTTTACATTTAACTTCATTTTGTAAATATGTTCTGCCTCCTGAACACTTTAGTTATTAAACCGCCCTCCCACGCCCGTGGGAGAGCAGGAAGACCCCGTCCTTGGGCCCGGTTCCTC